CTGGTGCTGGTGCTGGTGCTGGTGCTGGTGCTGGTGCTGGTGCTGGTGCTGGTGCTGGTGCTGGTGCTGGTGCTGGTGCTGGTGCTGGTGCTGGTGCTGGTGCTGGTGCTGATACTGGTGCTGGTGGTGCTAGTGCTAGTGCTAGTGCTGGTGTGGGTCGGGGTCGGGGTGGCGGAGATAGTCACGGGCATCCAGTTCAGATCACTTTGAGCCAGGGTACCCGACGGGGTCACGGTGCCAGCAGAGGCCTGGCAGGAGGCGTAAGTGGTACCGGCAATATTACAGGAAACGGTTCCAACGCTGGTGTTTGATATCAGAATATGGTTCGCATGAGGAAAGTCTGTGCAGGTACTTACGTTCCCTGGAGGTCGATATTCTTCAGCTGCATAGAGGTCGGGGCAGCAATTGCGGTCATGCCGTCACCGGCAATACCGCAGGCAACAGTGGTCTTGGGGCAGGTAATTTTATAGGTAGTCGCATCTCCATTCTGTGGATTGTTAGTCAAAAGTGCCACGACGAAAGAGCGCATGGATCGCGCAATGGAATCTGGTACATACGGTTTCTAAAATGCTAGCCTGGAGATCCTGGCCCTCAAAGCCGGGCAGGAGGAGGGTTGCGGTGTTACCGGCAATGACCGCGGTGGCGCCAGTCAACAGAGCGACAATGTAGAAACGCATGTTGGAAATAGATGGGTGGTTGAGCAGTATTTATATCGAAAGATTCGTGATTCAGGTTTTGGAATCGTACAAATAATGAGAGTACACAGCACTTGTAGTAATATGAATTGCTCAAAACGAAAGACTTTCGAACAACGAAAGAGTGAATGACGGACTGTTTGAGCCTGAAGGTGTAAAAGAAGGAAGAAATGTGAGAAGAGAGACACCTGGGGGGTTAGGCGTACACATTATAACGCATAGTGTCGCCCTTAGTGGCCAGGACAAGATCAGCATAGTGGGATTGGCCCATATTGTGGTCTAAACGGATCTTCCCATGGATTCCCAGGCACGATGTAGGAACAGGGGGCTTGGAGTTCGAAAAGGGGGTGGTTTTACCCTAACCAAGTCCGAGTGCCTTGGGGGAACCAAATTAGGGGCGTTTTAGTGGATTTTGGCTGTGGAACTATGCTGATCCGGGCCTAGGGGCCGACCCGACCCCTGGTTCACATGCCTATTTAGGAAGGTTGCTTTGATGGGTCTCCTTTGTTGGACTGTGTCGGAGACTAAGATGAGATCAACAATGTGAATGGAGATATTTCAGGGGTGTTAGTGTATTTTTTTAAAAAAAAACCAATTGCTATAGATTTATGCGAGTTGCGCGAGTTGCGCGAGTTTGCCTAATATTTATAAACACCGTCGCCATTTTCTTCTTCAGACGTCGTAATTTCCCCAGGTCAGCCACCGACCTCCGATAGGACTAGCGTCCACGAGTTCGAGAGTTCAACGTACGCCTGGTGAATAAAAAAAAAAAAAAAGGAACGTGTCCGATTTCGAACGCTCTACAATTAGCCGGACTGATTAATTTTACGAGCCATGTTCTCTGTCGAATGCGTACGGATCAAAGATGCGGAGTATTCTGTGGGTTAATTTGTTCTTTACCCGCTGTCACCTGCAATCCACCTACATTTATGGCAATAAACCTGCTCGCCGAGCAATGCCGGTAACTCAACATGGTCCGTTTTCGATGCCGGGAATGTAACTATATTCCCAGTGAATCCAACGAGATCCTGCACCACTATGACACTTTCTCATGAAAGCAAAAACCAGAAGTGATCACCAAGCCCTTCCTGTCGAGGATCCGAAGTGGTTGATGCCCCCACAGACAATCCCTAGGACGAGGAGCACGCCATTAAACCCAGCCATGAGATAGAATGGTGTGCTCGCCGACAGGATATCGAATAGCAGCCCGCCAACTTTGGTCAATAGCAGGATGCCTGCTCCCCCATATAATGAATAGACACCTGCGATGGAGCCTTTGAGGTGGGAAAGATGCTCCAATCTCTGGTTCAACGACCCAGCAAGAAGAGAGTGGCCCTCATCGGGCTCTGCAACATTCTCGTCCCCACAGACGCGTCGCTCCTCAGATCTTATTGTTTCACTGTCAATATTGACTCGTAAAATACCGTTGCTCAAAACAGCCAAGCTGCAAACAATTGCCCCGATCTGGCTGGTTCCAAGCAGAGCCATAACAACAAACACCCCCGGATTGCCATCGGGTCTTTCGAACAAAGGGTTTGGAAGCATAGCGAAGCTGATATAGCCGATGGTTCCCACGAACGCTGCGAAAAGAAGTGGGAAGTTGTATCGTCGTGATTTATCTGTCAGGTAACCAAATGCTGGAGCTGCAATCAATGCCACCAACTGAGACACCCCGGTCAGTATAGATGCGACAATGTATGCACGAGGGCAAGCTTTCTTGATATCCCCTAGCCCCGACCCAGGAACAGGTTCATGTTCCTCGTTGCAGAGGCCCGATACTCGATAGTAGTGATTGACAGCGAGAGGAATGAACAGTGAAATCGCCACAGAAGAGGCACGAGCTACGAAGCCTCCGACGTAGCCGAGCCCAATGCTACGGTGTCGGAATCCCAGCTGAAGGGCAGTTGCCAACTGCTTCCAGTATGGCATTGTTGGCCTATGAAGAGATAGATCATCGTCGTCTCCACCTTCGTCATTACAGTGGTGAGATGTTTTCCACAAGGCACTCCAATTTTTGCCCTTTTCTCCAGGAAGATCACGAAGACCAATGGAGCATACGAGGCAGATAACAAGGGACACGACAGCAACCAGGTAGTAGCTGCGTTGGATCGCCTGCGCTGGCGACAATCCCATCTTCTCAAACTGGGCCGCAAGCGGCAGGAAAACAACCAGTGCCACAAGTGCACCACAGCCAGCGCACATGCCAACAAAACCGGAAAGTCGCGCAGACGGCGATGCGGTGGAAGCACCAATATTTATGGAATGGCCATTCCTGGCGCGCTCCGGTGTGATGGTCAACTCCGAAGACGTAGACGCACGGTATACCTGATCATTAAAGGTTGTCCCAGTGATAGTTGGTAGAACTGCAGTGACCATGGTTGACACCGCCGAACCACCAATGCTGAAGAGTAACCTTCCTAGGAGAAGCTGTGGATAGACATTGGTGGCTTGCACAAAAAAGACTAGCGCAAGCGCTATAATAGCATAGCCTGCAGTACATACCTATCAAATGTTAATCTCGTTGAATGTTATAACCCTGCTGTAGGCCAGTGGAAAGCTTACATGGCGGACTCCGATCCGGTCCGAGAGAACACCCCAGAATGGGCAGGCAACTAGAGCAAGGAGTTCATCTGCGAATCCCAGAGTTCCCACTGAATCTCCCACTCCATCCTGGAGCCCAATAAGATCTGTTATCACAAAGGCGCCGGACGAATTGATGTATACTAGGAAGGCGATTGAGAAGGGGCACACCGCCAAGAGATAAGTTAGGGTCTGGCTGCGCGAGGCAGTAAACAATGCTGGTGATGAAGCCATCACCGGCGATGATTCATTGCTTTCAAAGAACAAGTATGAGCTCGGGATTCCAAGATGAACAAAACACTCAGATCGATGCAAATGGGTGAGGAAATGATCTCTGGATGGTGTCACAATGGTTGCTTCTTCGACGCGGACAATGTGGGACGTCACATGACGGAGATAATCAGACTAATACCGAAGATCGACAGAAATGTCCGGACGTTTGAAGTAGCGCCAAGTGTTTGGATTTCGTCATTGTAATATTGTGTTATACGCGATTCAACAAATGTCATACCTTACTATAGTGAAATCGAATCTGGCCATATATTAAGTAGATTGGTATAGATCTGGGTGGCGGCACGTGTTTGTCGCTGACGTAAGATGCGGAGAGGCGTCTACGGGTTGTTCTGGAAAGCTGTCCAGATCAAGCTACTTACTCCTCCCAAGTAAACGGCATCCACTTCATTTCTCCGCCAAATGCTACCTTGAGACGCCCGCTTTTTTTTGTCCTTCCTTCGGTCTATGACCTTCGGCTTGTCCGATCCAGTCGATAGCCATGAGACTGGCCGCGTATGCTGGGGTAAGTAGTACCGCAGCTCATGGGGGGAGACAACCCGCTAACCTTAGAACTCCGTTTGCAGGCCTCGGTGGTCCTAGCCACTGGTGTGTTTCTTAAAGCTCTTCATCAGAGGTCCAATTTCTACTCGGCATGCGTCTATCTCTCTCAGAGTAGTGCGAATCTCATGGTGAGTTGTCAACTTTGGGTTATTGCGCTTGGTCATCATTATCCCTAACTCAGTACTCTATCTCTAGATCCTCACGAATTTATGTCTCCTAATCACCGGTTTTGTACTATTCTGGCTCCAGCGACTTCTTTACGGACCCTTGCGACCAATCGAGACCGAGCAACTATACGAGCGGGCCTGGTTCGCCGTCACAGAGACATGTCTGGCCATGACCATCTTCCGAGGCGAACTTGGAGGCTGGTTTTTGGTTATGTTCATTTCGCTGCTGGTCGGCAAGGTCTGGGGCTGGATTGGCGAAGGCCGCGTTGAGTTCTTAGAGCAGCAGCCGCCGGCTAATCCCCGATTGTTCCATGCTCGACTGGCGACATCTCTAGTGCTGACGGTGTCATTCGACGCCTTCATGTTGCGGTACTGTGTGCACACCGTAGTAACGAAGGCACGGCCAGACATGATGGTGATGTTTGGATTTGAATTCGCCATCTTGGCGGTCCTCTCGACCTCCACTCTTCTGCGATACGTTATCGCGTTAACTGAGATCTACATAACCCGCCAACAAATAAACGCCAAGATGCAGGAGCGTCGGGATGAGATCCGAGTTGCGCGTGTTGAGGCAATTCGAGAACATGCCCGCGCGGGCGCTACCTCTCCCCCTGACAATCTACCCGACGAAAACGATGTCAACGAGATGGAGATTGACGTTCCCGGATGGGAGGAGAAGGGTCGTTGGATCTTCTACTTGGATCTTTTGACTGACTTGTTGAAACTCGTGATATACTTGAGCTTTTTTGGTATCCTGCTCACTTTCTATGGCCTCCCCATCCATATCCTGCGAGACGTTGTTGTGACAATCCGCTCATTTGCCCGTCGTATTATGGACTTCATGCGTTACCGAAATGCGACAAGGGATATGCACCAGAGGTATCCTGATGCAACAGCAGAGGAAGTCTCCCGGGAAGATGTTTGTATCATCTGCCGCGAGGAAATGATTCCAGTTCAGCCAGCGCAACCGCAACCGGCTGCTAATGCTGCTAATGATGCTGAAGAGCCTGCACCACAACCTACCGCTGGAATGCCGCGTGTTCCTGACCGCCTGCGTCCAAAGAAGCTCCCATGTGGCCATATCTTGCACTTTTCGTGCCTCCGAAGCTGGCTTGAGAGGCAACAAAACTGCCCGACATGTCGCCGTCCTGTGGTATTGCCCCAGCGAACTCGTGGAGCTGCTGGCGTTGGGGACAACAACGCACGCGGAGGTCAGAATGGTGGCATCCAGCCAGGCCAACAAGGTGCAGATGCCCAACCACGTGCTCGGGTTTATCAGTTCGGGCCCTTCCGTATTGGCTTCGGAGCTGTGCGTGGTGATTTATTCAACAATCTTCAGCCACAGGGCCATCAAGGTAACGTGCCGCAGCCTGGAGCACACCTGCCTGCAAATGCGCCTGGGGGACACATCGGGTTTGGATTTGGGTTCGGGCGCCGTCCCCAGGCCCCCACCCCGGCCCCGGCCCCACAAGCTGTGGCCCCGGGTGGTTCTATGACTGCTGAAATCAATGAGCAGTTGCTGCAGATCGAGCAGCGGCTGAATCAAGAGATTGCCACTCTTCGAGCTGCCACGGAGCATCTAAGTCACGTGCGCCAACTCCAAGTGGAACTGGAGCGGTTGCTTGCTCAAGCAAGGGCTGTTAACCAGCAAGGTGCAGCTCAACCACGTGTCGGTCAACCAGCCCCGCTTCCCAACGTGACGCCGGGATCTTCGGTCTTCACAACGGGTCACCAGTATGGCGCAAACCCTGGCGCTGATGCTCTAAACTCTGGAGACCCTCGTTTACCGGAAGGGCTCACTCTTCCCCCCGGTTGGACCCTTCTTCCACTCCAGCGCTTGGACAACGGTGCCAACGGGCTGGAACAGACACTACAACCTACACCTACCACTACAGTGACCTCCCCAGCTGCGCCAGCAGTGGCCAGTGTTGTAACCCCCCAAGCTCCCACATTCCAAATGCCTGTTCAGAATCAACCTATCAGGAACGTCGGGGTGAATGCGCATGGCACCACCATCACTGAAACCCCTCCCGTAAATGGAGCCTCTAACTTACCGATATCGCAGGCCACGTCCACCGTCCCTTCAGCCGAACATCGTGCGGAATCCCCATCTCAAGAATGGACCGATGTTGCCCCTAGAGGGTCTGTCGAGGTCAGGCCAGCCTCCTCCATTCCAACTACTTGGGGTAGCAATGGGGAATCTGTAACTAGTGCTTCTGGTCAATCTGAGACTCACTTCGAGTCCGCATCCAACGGCAAAGGCCGAGCCGCATCAGTTGAAGAAACGCCTGATGAAGAAGCTTGATCCCAGACTCCTCTTTTGATTATTCCCTCCCTGTGTATTTTTTTCCTCCAGGGCCTGCCCAGCCCTTTCGGTTCCCCAGTTATTTACACCAGCGTTTCTGCATGGCGTTGTTCGCGAGCAAAAGATCATACCCAGATTTCTTTTCACGTTTTTTTTTTTTTTTCTTCTTCAAACCACGGTTGAATCTTATGGTATTTGCTTTCAATGATGATTTTGTTCAATTGAAAATCTGTATATGCAGCGAGTCTACGGAGTAAACTCCCATTAGGGAGTAAAACGTACAACATAGAGATGCAGTTCTAGATGCAGTTCTAGTGCCATGACATGGCTGAGACAAGCCGCGTGGCTGAATTCTTGGGGAATCGACATGTAGCCTCGCGTGTTGGTTATATGATTTAACATGACGAGTGCATGATTTTGTTCATTTTGCACTGTTTTTGGTTGAAATCTATTTTAATGAATCAATGGTCTCTTTAATGTCCTATAACGTAGTTCTTTCTGCAGCGTTGAAAGAAGCTTGGTCATGATGGCACGGGCTCGACTCCACTTGCATCTGATTTGTCCAGAGGCCTGCAGCCTCGGGCAGGATGAGACCAGAGTCCCTTGAATCTACAACATAGGTCGGCTTTCTTCTCCTTCACCCCCTTGCACTCTCGGGGCCATGATATCCTAAATCCTAAACTATGTAAGGCAATGTTTCCCCTCCATTGCTCAATTCCAATGTTTTGGCACTCCGGACCTTGCGATCTCCCGCAGTACTCTCACCCCTGTGCACGCGACACAGTGGCATACAGTAACATTGCAGCTAATCAGCATCTCATGCGATAGATTGTAACCCCGTGTACGATTGTCCAACCCTCCGTCCATGCTTCTCCCACGGCGAGCGGTCATCTTCCTCGGCGTCTGCTTCTTCTTCGTCTTGCTCCTCACATCCCGGAGCCTCTCACGACCATGGCGTGACGTGCCCCAAGTCATTGGCCTGGGTGACTTTGTCTCCTCATCATCCAACACAACAGGAGCCTGGAACACGACCCGCGGCCACAGAAACAAGCTCTATGCCCCACCGCCGAACTTCATCCCCGGCACCCCCAAACCCCCGGGCTATCAATACTCCAAAGTGTTGGTCGTTACCCGAACCAAGGAGGAAGAAACCAGCTGGATCGCCGAGGAGTTGCCGGATTGGGACCATGCCATCTATGTCGCAGATGACCCCACAGCACCGCTCCACCCGCCGAGAAACAAAGGCCACGAAGTTATGGTCTACCTCACCTACATCGTTGACCACTACGACCAGCTCCCAGACGTGGCTGTATTCATGCACTCGCACCAATTTGCCTGGCACAATGATAACCTCTTCGCTGGAGACGCGGCGCAGCTGCTCCGCCGGCTCAATCTGAATCGCGTCATCCGCGAGGGCTACATGAATACTCGCTGCGGGTTCGGCCCAGGCTGTCCAGCCTGGATGCACCCCGGTGCGCTCGAGGCAGACGAGTCGAAACAGGAGGAGATCATGCTGGCTCGCGCATGGGGAGAACTATTCCCCGACCAGGAGATCCCGTCTGTCCTGGCGCAGCCGTGTTGTGCGCAATTCGCCCTGTCGCGTGATCGAATCCGCTCCATTCCGCGAGCCCGATTCGTTTTCTATCGCGATTGGCTGCTGTCAACGGATCTGAGTGATTACATCACTGGTCGTATCTGGGAGTATTTGTGGCAATTTATCTTCACCGGGGAGGCTGTTCTCTGCGTCGATGAGAATGTGTGTCTGTGCGACGGGTACGGATTTTGTTTCGGCGGAAACGAGGAATGGAATAATTACCGAGAAGCTGAAACGAAGAAGAATGAGATACAGCAGGAATTGGATAATTGGATGTGGTTGACTGACATGGGCTTTGATCCCCCTATTGAAGAAGATGGTCTGCCTGAACCAGATGACCCCGAGGGTGAGAAAGGCAATGAACTTGCCAATCAACTTCAAGAGAAGCAGCAGGAGCTCGTTGACATTTTGCTTGCTGCTATTGAACGTGGCAAGAACCCTCAGTACCGTGCCCAGGAGGCTGGTCGTCCTTGGAAAGAGGGTGATGGGTTCTAAGCTGTCTTAACTGGATCAAGTGCTGCTTTCTCTGAGTCATCTTGGTTGATATCCTACACTGCAAAAGTTTATACGGGCCAATGATCTGCATGCCATCTACCTACCGTTTCCTCTTGGCACAGGAGCCCTTCTTTTGGACACATTTTTTTGTCATCTGTCAACACCCTTACACTTTTAATTGACAGGGCCATGTATTCTGCTATGGAGTTAAACCGTTTGGGATTTTTGTCTTCTTTGGTGACTTATCTTTTTTGATTTGGGTAGAAGGGTTTTGCGGTGACTCGGGCTTCTTACAGTAGGAATGTATCGAAAATAGACATGAATAGAAAATTTTCATAAGAAATTTCGTATTTCTGCGTATGAGATTCACTAATCAAATCGACATGTAATGTAGATCCTGAAAAAGAAAATAAAATAAAACATCTTTTGCCAAAGTTCTTCACATAAACCGTCTGATCACGTGGCATGCTTGAAGTTTTCGGTTTGCACTGTCTGTTGTTCCTTCAAACTGCACAAACATCATTCTAACTGTCGCGCCTCTTATCAGCCAACTCGAACTAGAGCTGTCGAAGACCTTTTTTAGTAGTCTATTGCGTTCGCATTACTTTCGCTGTGACGCGCTTTTCACCCTCTTGGGTGTGGCGCGCTGGAACAACTGTGTTCTGACCAAGCTGTATCGTCAATGGTCGAAGCTATTCATTTGGCTTTCTAACAACTGGATAAGAGCTTCAACCTGGAAGACGTACCATTCTGAGGATAAGTCCAGGATCTCGAACGCAGTTTGATCCTTTTCTCGAATTCACTCTCGAGAAGCAAAATTCTCTGTCTCACTTTTTCACCTCAATCCTCAGAACTTTGCGATACTATCAGCTTATCGAACCAGGCGTCTCCAAGCAGCTAGCTCTCGATCAACACCATGAGCTCTTCTACCAACCAACACCTCCCCACAACCTCCTCCGATCTACCCTCTCAGCAGACAGTGACCGCTACCCACCTTGACTCAAACTCGCAACTCGGCAACAACGGATATGTACCAAATGACAACCAGCTTGCGGGACTAGTTGAGGCCGCCACAGCCGCCGCAGACCAAGATGTTTCGCAATGGGCCGCCGCTGCCGCAGTTGCAGCAGCTGCCGGTGCAGCCGGCCATCACCACCAGCTTGATTCATACGCAGACATGGATCTCTCCGAGAACGGGTTTGGCGATGCGAACTTCGGAACTAGCATGAGCGGTGCAAGACACATGAGAGCGTCTAGTCACACTGACCACTCCCAATCTTCGGGGCTCACACGAACGGCAACGAAAAAGCGCAAGCGAAATGACGATAACCTCGACCCCGCCTTGGCTGGCGCGGGTCTCTCGGCCTCGCAGCATCAGTCGCATTCCGCACAGCAACCCCCTCATGGCTATACCGGAGAAAGTATCGACATTCGTCCCCAGCAGCAGCAGTCCCTGTCGGATGCTCGTGCAGTGGGAATTCATTCTGCGGCGGCGCTATTCCGCCAGCCTTCTGGCAATAAGAAGTACACACGGCCTCCTATTTCAAAGATGTTTTCGTCCCTTGAGATCTCCCCAGAGAACTTTTTGCATCTCCAGGCTGCTGCTAAGAATTACATGCTAAACGATGAACACCCCGAAAGACGCGATTGTGTTGGCCAGCGTGGTAAAGGAGATACGGAAATGGTCAAGCTTCGCCTGTGGAACTGTGTTCGTCAATTCCTTGAAGCCGAGGGAAATGGTGAACGATTCTTTGGAGAGCATGTTGTTAATGAGGGCATGGGCCCAAGAGCCTACATCTGGCCGCGTGACCAACACAAGATCATTTCATTGGTCATTCCTTTGCTCAGACGGATGGTCACCAACGAAAGGCAACGCCAATACGCAATCGAGACTCGTAAAGGAGGGGGTGCTGAAGAACGCCGCCGTCGCAAAACGGAAGAGTTCTCGAATTTGAACAGTCCGCGCTTCTCTCCAGAGCAGCATCTCCAAATGCAAAACCAGACGTCCCATCGTGATGATCTGTCACAGTCAATGCCCCCTCCTCCTCCACAGCCAATGCAGCAATCAGCAATGGACCCGTCCCAACCTATGGACCTTGGTCTGACCGACCTTTTCCTAGATGGATACACCGCCGACTGGGAAGAAATCGGCCGATGTTATGATTCCTACAACGAGAACTTCGAGCTCGATAATCTATGGTCTCTCTCCGGCCTCCAGCAACCCGATTGGCGTGGGCTCGTTGCCGCAGTTGACAGCCATTACCACGTCGTCCACAACGGAAACTACGACTGCCCACCGACTTGTGAAGATCATAACATCAACCGCATCATCCACTCGGACACCACCTCAAGTCTCCAATGGCGCATTGGCGGGGCACGCAATCTCCCAGCCCGAGACGAATTGTAAGCCATCTATCCTTTCCACGCTTGTAGAAAATCGACTAACAACCCCATAGCGCAAGCAGCATCACCCGCGATGTGTCTCGTATTATCCGTGAGAACATCGCCTCCCGACACGGCCACCCTACTCAAGCACCCGATCCCCACTTTCACCAACCCTTCACTTCTCTTTCAGACTCAACGCAGACAGCCAATACAACGGCATCCTCTCACGGCCACGGCCAAACCTCCCTTCGCGTCAATATCCTACAAAACGGAAAGCGTATCCTCTCCAGATTCGACCTGCCGGCAGGCCAGTGTCCTAACATCGACACGGTCAAGCAGGCAATTCTCCGTCGGTACCCGGGTCAAATCCCCGGTATACCGGTATTCCAGGGTACCAATGCTGCTACGCATGAAGCTCGCGAGTCTGCTGTTGTGGAAGGGTGGAAGGTCAAGGTCTGGTTGCCGGATGGACTGGTGCCTGTGCGGAACCAGAAGGACTGGACTATTGCGGTGCTTTCGGCTGATGCTGTTGATTGGATGGATGGGGAGTTGAGGGTTCTTGTTGAGATTGATGAAGGGGGTGGGCAGTAGAGTGATGTTGCACCTTTTCATTTTTCTTCTTCTATATCCCTGTTGTTTTATGTTGAATAAGTTGCATCGTTATACCCTCAATTTTGAAGAAGTCACTCCAGTTTTATCCACTTTAAACATGTATAGTGTCTTTGTAATTAACTGCCATGTCCCCTGTCAACATAACCTTCGTTGGCTTCCCGAGGTTGCACTTAAAAAACATGAAAAGTGGAGCTCATGATAGAAGTGGGCTACGCTAGTCCTAATAGGGAACAATGAGTTCCTGCAAAACTGACAGCCAGGTAAATAATTCAATACCTCGCCCCAGGTATCCTAGCGGGAACCGCATAAGGTCTTGTGCTATAATATCTCGTCTCGGTGGTATATTATAGTGCAGGGCACTGGAGACCTGGGGTTCAACCCTCGCCTTTGAACCTGATCCCCTTGAAGGGGGACGACTGCAGGGAGTCATGATCAAGGCTCCTTCCATAGTCAGGGCTGCATGTAAGTCATTGGCCGATGTGACCGCCCATCATACCCCGTCGGCAGCAGAGCATCCTGGTTGTAGAGGTGCCCCTCTTTGGAGCCTATTTTTTGTTACTTTTTGAGGTTTGTTTTGATATATCTTCACTTGGTGATGGCGGTTTAGCGTGGGTCACATGCACCATCATTACTGACTGATACCTTCTCGGTTGCTATTTATTAACATGGTCTACTTGCAAGATGCCTTTCTTCCCGTTTTCGTTAGGCATAATTCCATTCTCTTGCTCCTGTCTCATAGTGCCTATCACCTTCCAACTTCTGCTGCCCCCTCCTTTCAACTGCAACAACAACCTTTCAACGCTTTTCATAATGAACAAATAAACGTACTTAATCCACTTAATCCTCAGTTTTGTACCACGTTATCTTGTAAAAGGCAATTGAGTCGAAACCCTCCCTCATGTGAATATTGAACTCAGATGTCCAGTTTAGCACTTTAGCTTCTCCAACAGATGTGAAAAAAATACATACCCAGCCTACTAAGTTACATCCTTGTATCAAGATTTTAAGCAACCTATCAAAAGCGAAACATGTATTACAAGACAGAGAGCGTAAACTCCCAAAGATTATACGCTTAATCATCCGCTCAGGCAAGTTCAAGGCACGTTTTAACTCAACAATTTGTCTTTCCAAGTATAGAGTCTCCACAAGATGAAATATTGGAAATTATAAGTTTTGATCAAAAAAGTGCAAAGAGATATTCCCATGCCTCGGAAAATAGAGTAAAAGGGTTATAAGGAGCAGGGCTTGGAAAAATGCAATCTTTGCGTCTTACAAAAACGCCAAATGACAACCGCTCTATACGCCATAACGCACACAAAGTCCAAGAAAACCGGTCCCACTAAGAGCTCATTTGTTGTGTACAAATAGAGTACGGAGGGAATCCCAATGGTCTGAGTCGCCGTAACTGTGGTGGAGAGGTTGAAGGTTAGCATCGAGAAAAGTAACCCGAACTTCCGAATCATAGAAAGCGGAAGAAAAACATACATATATACCATACTACTACGCAGACTCGACGCCAGCGTCTCCGGGTGCCACCGGAAAATGTACATGACCATCGCCCAGGTCAAACTGGCGAAAACGGGGTAGGCATTTTTTGTGATCTTCGTGCGTGAATCGGATGTGATGAGGGAGGAAAGCGGGTGCATCTTGGGTTGGACGGCGAGCTTAGCAAGGGCAAGCATCACACGCGCGAAGATGTAAATAACGATCTAGACCTGAGTTAGCTCTGCAGAAAAGCCAGATTGTATTCAGGAGACAAGGTTAAAATGCCCCCAAAATCAGGGGAAATTTCAAGCCACATACCTGCTGGCTGATACTGCCCTGTTGCCGTCCAAAAACTGCATACCCGCCCAGCAGGCCAGCAAAGAAACTATCATATCTGCCCTCTTTCCCGGCACCACTTGGTATGTTCCGGAGAACGATCATTGAAGCCTTGTAGATAATGGCGAATGTGGAGAGGTTCCGCGCGTGCAGGCGGGTTGCTTTCAAAACGAGTTTTGTCTTTTCGCGTATTCTGTACAACGACGCGATCAATTTCGTTCTACTAGAGGTAACATCGGGCGTGGGGAGTGGCATACGTCCCAGATCTGAACAGAAATATCATTCTAAAAGCAGTCGATATCAGTCAGCTCTGCCTTATAGAGGGGTTTCCTGGCTGTCCGAGGCCCCAACATACACTAGCGCATGTGGAAAGCGGACTTTCGATCCGTAGACGATCCCATTGCGTGCACCCTTCACTAGTGATAGTAGCGGTGCGAGTTCAGGTTTGACAACGAGAGCATCGAGATGGGACTGCGTGGAGAGATATCAATATTGTTGTGTATAGTCGGAGCCGCTGCGGAACTCACGAGCAGTGCATCCATGGCGTCTCTGGGCCTCGGCAAGAGGTCGGTCTCGTTTCGGGGTGGTTATAGGGGCGATGGACAGCGAAAAGAGACCCTGAGACTTTCACGGACCATGAGGAGGAAATGGATTGAGAAAAAGATAAGTTTCATGGGACAGGGGAGGTTGGTGGAGAGGGGACGGCGCTTTAATCGGTTCCCACATCGAGAAGGGCCTCGGCATGTGAGAATAAAGCCGACGTCATGGTCACGTGGCTTTGTTCAAGAACTTGGCTACGAGCATACGGGGGAAACTGATTGAGTCTAGGGTAAAGTGATGGATGGAGGCAATGTCTCCATTAGATGTAGAGGTTTTGAAAATAACTTTTCATATGCCGTAAGACTGCTCATACAGGCGCAGAAAACGAAATCCCGTCCGGCCCAAACTCCTTAGCAAAAGAAATCATGTAAATCGATCGATCTTAATTTTTCCGTGCCTTCTTGTGACTCTCTTCCTCTTCAGAAGAAATCTCATCTATCTCCATCATATCTGCAGAGGGCTCGTCCTCCTCATCGGAAGATTCCATACCCGCCCGACGCTTGAGACCCTTCATCTTACGGGTCTGCAGGTCAGACAGATCCTGCTTGCCGAGGTGAACACGACCAATCTTGTCACCCATAGAGTCCATGATGATGTTTTTCTTGGTACGGGCTTCCTCATTGGGACGCTTGCCCTGCTTCATGGACTCCTTCTGCACCTCAGGAGCAGCCTGGCGTGTGCGACCGATCTTGAAGTCGAACTTGGGACCAACCTCCTGCAACTCCACGCGAGGCAGCTTGTGACCACTACGCTTGGTGACGACTCTGTACCAGCGCATGTGGATAACCGGGGAGAGACCATCCTGGGGCTCTTCAGCACCAACCATCATAACGTACTGCAGACCTTCAACGTCGACCTGGGTCGTCTCTTCGCCCTTGAACATGTCAAGAAGGGTGCTCTTCAGAATGGTGTGTGCAGTAGATGTAGGATCGTCCCAAGGGGAACCAGAGAACAGCATCATAGGTCGCAGGCCGAGACCGACATCCATGACAAGTTCGTTGATAGGCGGGATGGTCTCGCCGTCTCTCGGTGGGAGCAGCATTATCTCGACGAGATCGAGCACCTCTGAGTTGTAAATCCGAGCCAATGTAACGCAGTTAGGTCGCTTCTTGTTGTGACTTCCGAATGCTACAAGTCCACACTCGTTCTTGTTCGCCAAGAATTCCAGACTCTCCGAGTTCTCATATGGGTGCAAGTTCTCGTTCTTCTTGTGGAAAAGAATGTTGTGAGGCTTCGTCAAGGCATGAAAAGTTTTCAGCACTGTGTCCAATGCTTGTGGGCATTTCGCGCCGTGGAAAATCAGGGTCTTCTTAGGAGGTTCGATGAGTTGCGGCTCCCGCGCTTTCAGGATACGCGCAGTACGCGGGTTCTTGGCCTTCCTATAGGGCAGAGTATAAGTCTATGATTAAAATCTCGATAAATTGCCAGAACTTACACTTCTCTCAACATTTTGTAGGGAAAGATCGGCAGAATGACTTAGGGTAAAAATATCGAACGAACGGAAAAGTTTTGGGTTGCTGCTGGCTTGGCACTCTTATCGATAAGCTGGGTGCTGGTCAAGTCACGTGTCTTAGCCCATGTGATTGGCCACTTCATACTACTCCGTACATCCAGATGTCTACCTGCATTCTATAACACAATGTATACCTATCTGTCACATAGTCAGTTGCTAGAAAAAACACGGTTCCTTCAGAATTAATCTGAGCGCATATGATGTATCTCATGAACTATTCCGTTTCGTTTCTAAGATCGATTCTAGAATTTGTGACAGGCACCGTCCACAAACAGCTCACAACCTTAATTTTCCAAAAGATCTAGCATTCTTCAAAGGCTCAAATCGCAGCCACTAAACACACCGACAAACAGGACCAATTTTACATGGGACGCAGAAGCAAAAAGACCAAAAAGAAGAACATACAACAGTGAGGATTCGCTGGTGGAATCCCACCCAACTACTAACTCACCGGCGTGTGGCTTAAGTACGGCTGAGCGGACGGGAAGCCCTGTTTTCCACACCCTGTGGTCGTATGTACAATAATTTTTGCAGAAGAAAACTAAGTTCCTAATGGCAAATGGTCAATGAGAAGAAAGGCAACATAAATGGGGCGAGAATCAGGATAAGAACCTTCCTCAGTCGTGCGATTACCACCCATATTTCCTAAGACGTTTCATGCTAGTTGAGGAGCCATTATTTGTGTCTCAATTCGGTGAAGGACAATGAAATATGACTTGCTGTCGGCTCCCTTCTTGGTATATGTAGTGAGTTTCAACCCGGTGGTCTCTTTGGAGGAGCAACTGAGAAATCGTATGCAGTTTAAACACCCCAGCGGTGGAACGGAGAATGAAAAAAGGAGTTTCGCTTGAGAGTTCCATCCTATCAACGGTCTAGAGCTTGCGCTTGACACTAAAATGAGGTTAGTTATTTGAGGTTGATGTGGCTCAGCGGGAAAAACACACCATCTGCCAATAAGCCCCCTTTCTGCGCAACAATTCATGGTGTGTTCCGGACTCAAAAATCCTCGATCCCTGCTCCGAAGCCCCAGTTCCAAAGACAAAAATTGCATCAGCTTTCTGAATGGTCGCTAGTCTATGCGCGACTGCAATGATTGTCATGTTTCGCTTGCTTGCTAATCTCTCCATAGCACTTTGCACAAGACTTTCCGACTGAGAGTCCAGACTAGATGTAGCTTCATCAAGAAGGAGAAGCAGCGGTTTACGGATCAAAGCTCGGGCAATGGAAAGACGCTGTTTTTGCCCACCGCTTAGTGAAGCCTGAGCGTTGACGCCAAGTTCTGTCAAGAAACCATCTGGCAGGGATACTATGAAGTCATAGATCTCGGCGTCTTTGCATGCTTGAATCATTTGGTCTTCGGTAGTAGGGTTATTGGGGGCTTCCAAACCGAGAAGGAGATTCTCGCGGATGGTACCTTCGAAGAGCTTCGGCTCCTGGGCGACCAGCGACAAAGCACTTCTGTAAGACGGAAGCTCAATGGAACGAATGTCTCTGCCACCAAATAGAATAGTTCCATGATTGCAGTCATAGAAGCGCTCAAGTAGCGAGATAAGGGTGGATTTTCCACAGCCTGAAGGTCCGACAAATGCCACAAATTGACCACTCTCGATGGAGAGATTCAGATTAACAAAAGTTGGTACTACTCGAGAGGAGTACTGAAATGAGACATTCTGTAGTTCAACAGAGGGACTGGGTCTGTGCTCCGAAGAAGAGAGTGGCTCCGTCGGAATATACTGAAGCTGTCCCGTGGTAGGTCGTCGAGCAGACAATATGCGATTGGCAGAAGCCTTAGCCTGGGCAATATTTGGACCAACACTGAACAACTGCCCAGATGATTGACCGCCTTGAATTATATAGCAACATAGACCACGAAAAATGTCACTGGGTCGTATTCATGCGACGCGAGGAGCTGACCGCCATACCAAAAGGCGAGCGCCATGGCACACAGCTCAACACTCTCGGAAAAGGCAAATATCAACGTTGCGTACCACGCCTTCCGGATAGCTTTTTGGCGCTGGTCTTTCAGTAGATTTGAATATCTTTCCATAATTGTATCTTCCATGGTCAGAGCAGTGACCGTTCTGAATGCTCGGACCGCTTCCGTTGCGAACTTGGAGCTATCAGCATAAACCGCAGCATTCATATTCTCGAATTGAACTTCATATTGGATGCGTATGAAGGAAGAGAAGAATGAAAATGGCATGGCGGCAAAAAAGGTGACAGCCGCTAGCTTCCATCCAAAGGCGAAGGAGGTTGAAACACATCCAATGATGTTGAAGATCGAAATAAGAGGAAAAACACCAGTAGGGCCAAAAACCTCCTGCAGTTGCTTTGAATCAGTGGAGAGTCTGGAGATCAGACTACCCGAGGAGTTCTCCTCGCGGTCATAATATGACACCGGTTTGGACAAGAGATTGTAGATATAATCCATCCGGGCGTTGGACACGACAAACTGAATTGTTAGCCTCGCTTAAAGTCCGTGGATGTATTCAGACTCACCATCGAAATAGAATTTGACGAAAACCCTAACATCAAATAAAAAGTCGCCATGGCAAGGGCGAGGATGAAAAACATCAACGCCCAGAAGTTCGCGGCGTGCACGAGTTTCTCGCCAGTGAACTGGAAGACCTGCACGAGTCTGGCAAACAGCCAACTTTGCAGGGAGAATCCGGCTATTATACTGTATAAGCTAATGTCTAGAAATTTGTAGGGAAGCATGTTAATACTTACAACCTGCCCCTACAGCCCCGATCAGCGTCAGTGCATATAAGAGCCAATGACTACGATTTTCATAAATGAGGACCCCAAAGCCGTGGAAAAAGCCGAACCCTTCCTCGGGCTCAGGGTTATCCTTGCCATTTTGATCGCCGCATTCTTTGGTGGTATTATCTTGAGCCGTGGCTTCTTCTTTCTGCGACGAAATTGATTCCTCCACATCGGAATCCATCAAATCTGTAAGTGGTGCCAGTTGTTGTGCATGAACCAAGCTATGGTATATCCCTTCCTTGATTATAAGCTCTTGGTGAGAGCCTTCTTCAAAGTTTTGGCCGTCTTTCATGACGATGATCTTGTCCGCACGGCGGACAGTGGACAAGCGATGAGCGATCATGATTGTAGTGCGATCTTTGGACACACTATCGAGGGCTGCTTGCACGATCCTTTCTCCTTGAATGTCAATGGAGCTGGTCGCTTCGTCGAGAATGAGAATCTGGGGTTGACAAACGATGCTTCGCGCGATGGCAATTCTTTGGCGCTGTCCGCCACTCAATGTGATTCCACCTTCCCCAACGGCAGTGGAATAACCCTGGAGTTAGAGCAATCAGTTGAGATGGAAACAGAATGAATGCAGTGAGAACGGCGCAACAATACCATGGGAAGACGGTCGATAAATTCATCTGCAAAGGCTTGCTTGCACGCTGCGGTGATGAGGTCCATCTTCACAGCTTCTATTTCATTCTCCCACTGCGATCCTATCAGACCTAAAGCGACGTTATTGTATATTGTGTCATTGAACAAGAACGGCTCTTGCTGAACAAGTCCAATCTGGGATCGCCACCACTTCATATCCAAGTCATTGATGTCGTGAGATCCCACAAAGATGTGACCCGACGTGGCCTCTTCTTCCTCGGATGAAAGTTGATACCATCGCTCAATCATAGCGACAACGGTGCTTTTCCCCGAACCGGAGGGTCCGACCAGAGCCGTGGTTTTATTCCGCTCAAATGTCGCATGAAATCCTTTAAGCACAGTCATTTCCGGTCGTGTGGGATATGAAAACGTCACGTTCTGAAACACGATATCAGCATGGGATAACCCCGGATCTCGAATTCCGGGTGGATCATCTCGCTTGGAATCAATAACACCGAAAAAGGCGCCCGATGCGCTTATGGCTTTTGAGATAGCCATCAACGGCCCCGCAATTCCGCCCAAAATAGTGACTACGAGAAGCACAGAGAAGAATACACTAACTGGTTGTCGGCACAGGGCATCACAAGTATTCAAAAGACAGGGTAATCATACGTGATCACAGTATTAATGTTAGCAATGTGACCCTCGCGATACAGCTACAGCCCAAACCAGAAGGCCAGAGAGAAACTGACATAGATGGCAAAGAAGAGCGTCCCAAGGTGAATACCGGTGACTAGTGACATGCGCATCCCACCTTTTCGTGCTTCCTCGACCCATTGTGTATACTTTTTGAAGAGTGGCTGCTCAGCACCCAGGGCGAACACCGTCCGAATGGAGCCGAATACTTCTGCAGCGAGGGCTACATGCTTTTCATCCGCTTTGTCGACATTCTGCTGCGCCTTCACCAGAAATGGCGTTGTCAGACTAAATACAAGGACCACAAATACAATGGCCGAGCTAACAACAAGCGTCAGTGCCCAGGAATAGCGGAATGCAATTGCGTAAGCCGCAATGAGCAATGCGAGCGACTGAAACAGTATGGCGAGTCGATCGGAAACACTTTGCTGGATCGTATTTGACAGTGCGGTAATCGCATTTGTGACAGTTCCGACCGAAATTTCGTCTATTCTGCTCATGGGAAGTGAAAAAAGGGCCTGGATGTACTCCAGGCGCAAGGCCCCTGAGGCGTGGAGGCTAGTCAATCGAAAACACATCTGTCTCGTATAAGCAAAATGGAGCTCTGGTGGTATGAAATCACAATACCATGGATATATAGGTCAGAGCAAACTTTCCGATAAACAAATAAACAATGTACAAACTGGAAAGAGACGGTGAGTTCGCTGACATGAACAAGGAAGTGCGACCATTACCTATCTTTGTTGACTGAGGACTTGAATGATTGCTCTGTGACACCAGACCCCGGGATAAAGTACTCAGTGAAGTTGCCGACCAGCTGGCCAAAGACAATGTTCATCAACGGAAGAGCCTGGAAAGTTATCAGTTGATCATGTATACAGCTCGAAATTTGCTCTCAGCGTACAATTCCCGAAGCCATGGCACACACCAGTCCAAGGACCATAATATATAGACCCCCAAAAGAGGCACCATATGATAGAATTCTCTGGCGGAGGCGTGAGCGATTGTGTACAAAGCCAGGTGCATCAACAGATCAAAACATACGGCATAGCTACCGAGACTTGCTGGCTTCGCTGTCTCATCTTTTGGATTCCCAGAACGAGCGACCATATCTGGACTAGTGATGGAATTATTCTCTGGCGATGTCAAATTGTTCTGCGTTTCGACGCGATGCGGGGAGGCTGACGGAGAAGGCATTTTCACTCCGTCGACACGACGCTTTCGTTAAAGAGATTCCCTTGCTTGCCCAAGGACTTTTGTACCATCTTCGGGGTTCTAGTTTTCTTGTGTAACTGGGATGTTGAACATGCGCCTAAGAACCCCCTGAACATAGTCAGTGCACAGATACCAGCAAGGCACGGACCATTCAAGGCTACCGGAGATTCCGATCAAGCCAAAATTAGGCACGCATAGTCTCAAAGTCATCAGAATATTTTGATCCTCACATTGGCCCAAATACTAGAATGAGTGGAGCGGTGATTTCAAAGACGAAGTGTCGGTTGTGATGAAAATAGGGTTCCGCACCCGACGTCACCCAGTTTGATAGAGACACCTCCTGCCATTTTCGGAAACTCATGGTTAAGAGATATGACAGAAACTCAATCAATTATGAGTTCAAATAACGATCACTTGGTAAAACGCAAAACAACTAAGTGGAAATCGCCGGAAAAGAAGATGTCGTTGTCCCAATACGTCAATCTTGGATGTAGAGCTTACTCCGCACGTCAAGGAAGCTATCAGGCTACATTGACAAGGTGAAGATACCATGGTTCATGGAATATCCTTTTAATCAGGGGCCATGATGTTTATCCTGGCTCTCTATGGAGCCCTGGCGGGGTTATTAGGAGGGATGTTGCTAGGTTCTAAGGATGTCGCCGTTATTCTCATATAATCTTTTATTTCATCTCGCCTCTTGGCTGTCAAATAGCGAACTCTCTATGCCAATATTGGCTAAAAATGCCGACGAGACTACTCATTCGTTGAACATAACTGGAACTACGCAATACAGCAACGATTGACTGGCACAGGTATGTTAACGGGGACCCTAAAGATGACATGTGTTTTTTATTGTTTCTAATGGACTGCACAGTAAGAGAACTCGGAATTATCATACCCAAGCGTCACCAATACAGAATGAGGGCATCAGCAGGCCTCCCTGTAACAGGGGCCATCACTCCACCGGGAGACTCACTGGAGGAAACATTGATCTCGTTCAACAAAAAAACTTTTTACTCAATCTCCGTCGACTGAGAAGGAGAATACAATAGATGTAATTTGGCAACAAGGCCGATCAATGTCATTGCTCTCTGGGAGATATTGAGGATGTAAATGCCTTCACCGCCCTCCAGGAAGCAATGATGGCCCTCACCTTCAAAGACCCAAGAGCATATATCATAGAACACGAGTACCGTCTGCCACGAGAGGTTGACCACCACAACCTCCAGATGGCTTGGATCAAGACGGCACAAGCCAACCCAATATTGAGGACTCGTATGATCCCAACAAGTCAGCTCGGGTGTGTGCAAGCAGTGGTACGAGGATCAATTCCATGGCAGGTGCGGGAAACAGACGACGGCATAAATGGTGAGATCTCCAGCCCTTCTTGGCGAGCAGGAGCTCCGCTGGCGTACTTCGTCTTCAATGTCACCGAACATAAACTGAAAGTGACAATTCATCATTCCATCTGCGACCAATGGTCGATGGCATTGTTGTTGCGCCAAGCCGACGCCTCCTACAGAGGCGAGGAACTATCTTTCCATTCCTTTCGTCCTTTAGTGGATCATGTGCAGCGGACCCAAGACAAAGCCAAAGATTTCTGGGGGTCAATTCTCCGTAATGCACACGAGACCACGACAAGGGCATTTCCTCAACTGCCCACAGTGGGTCATTTTGCCAAACCAACCGAGCGGCTAGAGAGGTCCTTTAACATCCAAGATGGAGAGAGTTCCTCAAGCACTAAGATTTGGTTGGTATGGGCGATCCTGCCATCGGTCTATACTGACTCTGATGATACATTATTTGGAGCAGTCAATGCAGGTTGTACAGTGTCCGTTGCAGAAGTGCAGGACTTGAGCGGACCTGCGCTCGCTAGCGTGCCGGTGCGCATCAAGCTGTGCCGGAAGAATACCGTTGCGGATAATTTGGTTGCAATACAGGATGAATGGGCAGCATCCATGGAGTTTGAACCTGTCGGGTTGCAAAATTTGCTTCGCCTTGGACCTGGTCCAGCGGCAGCATGTCATTTCCAGACCCTGCTCTCGGTCCAACCTCGAGATGGTCATCAACTTCCTGACACATTCTATCAAAGTCGATCGAGCAAATTAACACATGAAATGTATCCTTTGATCCTACGTTGTCGCCCCTGGACCGCGACAATGGGGATTGAGGCTTCATTTGACCCGACAGTAGTCGAGCCCTTTCAAATGAAGCGAATAATCTCCCAATTCATTCATATCTACCAGCAGATAGACACTAAACAGGGCCTCACACTTTCCGAAATCAGTATTATGAGCCCTGATGATTTGAACGACCTCCGCCGCCAAAACATATGCAAAAAGCACCCCGATGCCACGCCCTGTGTTCATTCTCTCATTGAAAGAAGCACGCAACAACAGCCTTTCCCCCCCGCCATCAGTAGCTGGGATGGCAACTATTCTTATCTAGCCCTTGACCACTTGTCCTCAGCATTGGCGGACCTTCTTTCTCTGCATCATGTCGGCCCTGGTTCATTTATACCTATACTCTTGGGAAAGACTAAGTGGATGGCTGTTTCCATGCTTGCTGCGATGGAAGCTGATGCTGCTTTTGTGCTGCTAGAACCATCAAACCCACAGTCCCGTTTACGCAATATGTGCGAAGCTAATGCAGCTCCCCTAATATTGACTCGTGGTTCGCATGTTGATCTGGCGGCCCAGCTTGGGTTCCAAGTATTGCTCCACGTGGATAACTTTGACTCGGAGAAGCTGCATCGCAATAGTATCTCTCGTAGGCCCTCAGTCAAACCACAAGATCCCATCTATCTGACATTTACCTCTGGATCCACAGGAACTCCCAAAGGGGTGATTGTTCACCATGAAGGATTTACTTCTAGTTCTGTGGCTCATGGCAGGCCATATCACTTCACGCCGGAGTCGCGTGTACTGCAGTTTGCCTCCCCAGCATTTGATTCTTGCAGTATCGAACATCTTAGCACGCTGATCCAGGGAGGCTGCGTTTGCATCCCATCAACGGAGGACTGCCAAAGTCATCTTGTGGAATCTATGAACCGCTTTGCAGTGAACATTGCGTGTCTGACGCCCAGTGTCACCCAGATCATTAGTCCTGACAGTGTCAAGTCATTGAAGATTTTGATGCATGTCGGAGAGGCAGTCCTAGCTAGCGACGTTGCTCGCTGGGAGCATTTTGTACACGTTGGAAATGCATACGGCCCGGCAGAGTGCTCAGCAGTATTCAGTGTACAACCAAACCTCAAGAGCAATGATCCAACAAAAATAGGCTTTGGCACAGGGGGATCGGGATGGGTTGTTCATCCTGAAGATCATCGGGTGCTCATGCCATTAGGATGCACAGGAGAACTGTTAATCGAAGGACCCATCGTTGGCAAGGGGTATTTATCGAACCCTGAGCAAACGGCTCAGGTCTTCCTTGAAGCACCCCCCTGGCGTCTACAATAGTTCAAGGTACAATGCCAGTAAGCTTCAATCTGGTCACTAGTCGTATCAAACAGTGCTCTGCATTGATTCTTCGCATATCCCATGCGCAGTATGATGGTGCCTCAATGCCACTGCTGTGGGAGACAATCAAAAAGGCCTATGATAATGAGCCTCTCACGCCGGTTGAGCAATTTAAGGACGTCGCCTACAAGCGAATGGGCGATTTGAACAAATCCGAGATTTCATTCTGGCGCCGATAACTTCAAGATACGCCTTCCGATTCCCTCGATCCCCTTCATCATGCTGGAAAGGTACGAATTTCGGGCAATGACATTGTAGAAAAGCGCCAAACATCAATGCCATCTCTCCTACCGGACATGGACCGTGTCAACGCTCGTGAAAGCGGCATTCTCATGGTTCCTGTTTGAAAAAACTTCGCAGCCTGAAATGATCTTAGGTCAGGTTGTTCACGGACGTGGAAATTCAGTTTTAGGCGCGAATACTGCTATTGGGCCCTGTTTGAATCATCTACCGGTTCAAGTCAGGATTGAACCTGACTGGACGGTGGAGGATTTCCTGCATCATGTGCAGGTGCAGCAGCTAGAAATCACTGCCCATGACGGTGTATCATTTGACGCAATCGCCGAATGTTGCACAGGGTGGCAACCTGGCTCAAAAATAGCTTGTCTTGTTCACCATCAGAGCGAAGAAGCCACGGAGCCGTTCGAACTGGGCGGTGTTCGCTCGTCATCTGGTCAAGAGTGGACCAGCTCCAGGTTGGCACACGGTCAGCTAGGTATCATTTCTGTGGAACAAGGATCCCAGCTTGAGCTCATGGTCACAGCTACCGAGGAGACCATGGACCGAGGTAGCGTTGAGTTCCTGTTGGAGAAGCTGATTGCGACCATTCATTTGTCAAAGTTGACCCAGTGCCGGTTGGCAAAGGTGGCTAGCAGGATTCACATTGAAATAGTTGCCTTGTCTTGAATAGCATGCCGTCAATTTGTATATTGGTGGAGGAATGTGTCGAATTCTATGGTACAATCTCTGTTTGAAAATAGGGCATGAAAACTCTGAAAATAGTCGGACCACCATGATGGCGTAGTCCACACAAACTGGAAATCTTGTTTAGTTAGCTAAGTCCTCACAGATTGGAAAAGAGCGGATTTCCCTCACTTTTAGTTAGAATTCAGAGAGCTTTGATGAATACCCCATCAACGTCCTACACATTGCTGTTGTACTTTCATGATATGTTTTTTCAACATGAATTCTGCTACATACGACCATAGGGTGTGGAAAACAGGGCTTCCCGTCCGCTCAGCCGTACTTAAGCCACACGCCGGTGAGTTAGTAGTTGGGTGGGTGACCACCAGCGAATCCTCACTGTTGTATGTTCTTTTCGTGGTCTTTTTGCCTTTTTGCAGCTAACCTAATTGGGGACATGGGTGAATTGTTGAGCGAGATTTTAGGCTAGATCGAACGCAAAAAATTTAGCTAGCAGTATCTTGGTCACGAGCTGTGCACAACCTTGTGGAAGGTCTTTATATTGTCTGCTAAGCATGGCTAAAATCTACATTTCGAATAG